CGGAAAATCAAATGCACATTTATTTATTAGCTGCCAAAAGCACCACACAAAGACAGTTGTGTTAAGTCACATGTAATGGGCTTTTTCTTTTCTTGATTTTGTTGCTCTTTGTGAAATGAAAAGCTAAAAAAGAATATGCATATAATTTGTTTTTTTATATTCATCACAAATTTAACAAGAAACTCATCAGCAGTAAACTAACAGTTTTAGTATTAAAAATTTTTAAGTTATACTCACCTGGTTGGCAGTCAAATGCCTTAGACGTTATGCCACCAGAGGCCCTTAATGAGAATGTCAGCTTCATGAATACAGGGACCAAATTTTATCTATATTTTTGCCCACTTTTCCATTGCCTTGTGCATAAACAATATTCAATAAATGTTGGCTTGATAAATGAATGAAGAGTAGTTTACACTATAAATAATTATAAAAAGGTTCAGGTAAGGGATGATTAGTGAGGAGAGGGCCCAGGTGTATGTAAGTGCAGGGTGTATGTAGAAGACAGAAGGTTTCTCCAGGCTGTGTATAGGGTTGGGGGAAATAAGTTTGTAGACCCTTTGGAACCAGATCGTTTGGGTGTGTGTGTGGCAGGGGGAGTTGGGTATTGTGCAAAGGAATTAAGGCCTTGTTCTCAAGGAATCACTGAAGGGTTATGAGCAGAGGAATAAGAAGAACAGTTCTGTTTTGTTTTTAAGTAAGATATGTGTGTGTGTGTGTGTGTGTGTGTATGTAATGTGTTTTTGATGAAGATTGTGTAGAACAACTTTCTACACAAGTTGTTCGGTGACATTGGTTACATTCTTCACAGTGTGTGAAAATTCCTCATTATTTCCATTCTAATTGGTCCACTTGTGGTGCTGTCCATGTGAAAGGTTTATCTAGCAGCAGTATGTACATAAGTTGAAGAGCTAAAACCTGGAGGTTGAAAACTCAGCTAAGAAAGAGGTCAGCTCCATGAGGACAGGTACTTGGTTCGCTCTTATATTGCCACGTCTTGGAACATAGTTGGCCCTCTGTAACTGTTTGTCAGATGAATGTGTGGCACCAGAATGAATGGCAGAGGCCATCCTGTAGAAATGGATAGAAGATAGAAATCAGGCATTGGAGCTCGTGATAGAAGTTAGCAACTGGTAGCATGGATTTGGGAGTTGTCCATACCTAATTGAACCTTGAGAAGTATATAGTTATAAAGGATAGAGAAAGAGCATACAGCCTAAAGATGGAATGTTGATTAACTCCTAAAGTTATTGTAATGTAAAAGGGGAAGTGTGAGAAAAGGTAACAAGAGAGATAAGAAGGGTGAATCCAGAGAATATATTGGCACAGAAGCCAGGGCAGCAGATAGAAGAGTTACCAGTTTGTGTATGTCCAGATTGTAAATACATATTTTGAATTTTGAAATTGATTCTTTGTTAAAACAGATTTGCTTTGAAAGTGTGACAGGTTCTAGTTATACTAGGGCTGAAACTGATTTTACAAGGTATGTGACTGTAAAACAATGTGGAGAAGTATCTTCCCGCCTCCTCTAACTTCACCAGGGGGAAAGAAACATTGATTCCTTGGAGGTGGAGGTCAAAGTGCTGCGGCCTTCCAACCTTTTTGCCAATTCTGACACCAACCCTCCCTCCCACAGCGCTCTTTACATCTCTGCTGGGTTTGGTCATTTGTTGCAGTGGCTACACAGAACTCACACACAGTAATTATGATTATGAGGTTTATTAGGGAAGTAAGAGGTTATAATTCAGCATCAGAAATGCTCAGGGATACAGTTCTTCAATACGGACAGCCACCCCTTGGGCATGTCCATAGGCATTGCCTCTTTGGCCGTTGGCCTCTCAGCTTGGCCTTTGCCCTACTTGGGCAAATGTTAACAAAGCTTTTTTAGCTCTGCAGATAAGCGTATTCCACTCCACCAGCCAGCCTTCTGTGCAAAGGTGCTCAACTTTCTGGATCAGTGGGCCAGCAGCCCGCGGCTCTATGTCCTGCCAGTCTCCTAGTTCCAGTGGCTCTGCTACTCTGCCACTGCCGTCTCTTTGCAGGGATCTCAGGTCCTAGGACACACTCTGCTCCCGTCTCTTCTCTCTAGATGGCAGTGAGAGCCCCCCCCCCCTTTCTGCTTCTGGGATGGCTCACTCTAAGCCTAGTGGAATGGTGAAACTGACCAGTCCCCACATTAGGATTTCATACACCTTAATTGCATGATCTCACCTCCACAAGGGTGCCATGTGCTTTATTTAGATTATTAACAAGCTATCTAGTCCCCTTGATGGACCGCAAGCACCTCACATTTACAAAGTCCCACCCACTTACTCGGTGGGAGTCATAAAGACCATAGCTAGAAGAGCCATAGGAGATCTGCTGGCGTAGTGCCCAAGGCATTTGACTGCCAACCAGAAGGCTGACAGTTCAAACCCACCAGCCACTCCTCGGAAGGTAGATGGGGCAATATACTTCCATAGTGATAGCGCCTTGGAAACCCAAGAAGGGGTCGCTATGAGTCGGATCCACTATGACTCGATGGTAGTGAGTTTGGTTTGTTTTTTGGTTTAGTAGAGCTATATTAAGTAATTCACTAAACTACGGTAACACTTACTGTTGAGGGGATCAAGGGCAAACCAGCCAAGTAAAGTGCATAGCAGAAACGTGCTAGATATGGCACAATTTTAGGATAGCACTAATATATTTTGGAATTTAACATACAGTCCTTTTAAGACTTCTTGTAACTAAACTATTGAGCTAAATATATAAATTTTAGTATGCTGTACATAGTAGTTAATGAACAGGATAATATTATCACAAAGTTACTTACTTTATAAATTGATTAATACAGAACCTCTACTAGTGGCCTACCCTAGGATATTTTAAGTGATTATGCTAAGTTTTATCTCTAGACAATTTTTGTGAAACTCTTATTTTGTCTGAAGCAGGCACGTGATATAGTTATTTGTTTGTTTTAAAAAAGCATAAGCTCAAAAATAGGCATTGATTTCTTACTACATTATGGCTTTGAAAATCATTCTCAATCCTTTTGTGTTTAGTACACCAGCTAGCAGTAAGATTTAACATTAAATTTTCATTTTCATTATCTTGACTACAGTTGCTTTCAGATGCCTCTTTAAAGCTTGCTGTGGAATAATATTAAAATAATTTTTATGGTATAACAATTTAGTTACTGAAAAGTACATTTTTCTTTTTTTCCTGAATGACAGTGAGTGTTACTTCCAAACTTCCTGCATATACCCACAGCTCTGTTTTCTTCCTCCTCTTATCCATCTTTCATAGAATTGCTGGACTAATTTTCCCAAAACAGAGCTTTGGGCATTGTCTCTTATACAGAACCCGTCAGTGGCTCCCACTGCCTCCTTGCGTTGAAGCCCAACTCATCCATCATGAAAAGACAAGCATGTATATTCTCTGACATTTTTGTTTTGATCTTATCTGCTAGAAGTCGCCATCCCACTCTAGATTCCCTGTCCTCTCGTGTGACAGTAGTCATTCCCTACATTATACAAGATTACTTACACACACATCTCACCAAGGAGAATATCATCTTCTTGAATGCAGGGACCTAAACTTATTATATTTTTGCCCGCTTATCCATTGCCATGTGCATAAAAGATACTCAGCAAATGTTGGTTGGATAAATGAGGAAGAATTTAAAATTACAAACACGCAGACTAGACCCTCCACTGACTCATGACAACCTTGTACACAATGGAAAGAATCACCAGTCGTGTGCTTTCCACAATCAGTATGTAAATTGGACCAATATAATCCATAGGGTTATCACTGACTGATTTTTCAGAAATAGATCCTGAGCCTTTTTTCTTCCTAATTTGTCTTGGTTGGGATGCTCCACTGAAACTTTTTCATCATCATAGCACTACGCAAGCTCTCACTGACAGATGGGCGGTGACTACGCATGAGGTGCGTTGGCTAGCAGTCAAACCCAGGTCTTCCTCATGGAAGATGAGTATTCTGCCATTACACCACCAGTGGACGCATTTGGTAGTTATAGTGGAGTGAGTAAAGGCATAAGCTTTGGAATCAGCCTGACCAAAGTTTGAATCCCTACTTTTCTGCTTAGTAAGTCTCTCAGCTTACACAAATAACTTAATATTTCTGATCCTTGATGTTTTTTTAATATGAAAAAGAAAGATATTTCATAAAATTTCTATATTACATGAAATAATATATGCAAAGCATCTAATACAGTGCCTAATTAATACTTTGTAGGTACCCAATGATTGTTTTATTTTTATTGAAACAAAACCAAAAACAAACCACATTCACTGCCATCGAGTCTACTCAAACTCATAATGACCTCCATTGGGTTTCCAAGGTGGTAGACCTTTACGGAAATAGATTGCCTTATCTTCCTTCCACAGAGTGGCTGGTGGATTTGAACCATCAACCTTCTGGTTAGCAGTCAAAAGCCCTAGGCACTGCACCACCAAAGCTCTTTTTTATTGATATATGAGCATGTAAATACAACAAGACATTTGAAAATCTGTTTGCAGATAACCTCAATATATTTTTATGAAATCTCGGGTACATTGTCAACTTGGTATGGAATACTTTTTTTATATTGCTAATTCAAAGGTACTCACTGCCAGTGAGTTCGATCTGACTTATAGTGACCCCTCCTTGAGTTTCCGAGGTGATATCACTATGGCAGTAGATTGCCCAGCCTTCCTTCCGAGGAGTGGTTGGTGGACTTGAACTGCCAGTCTTCTGGTTAGCAGTCAAATGCCTTAGGCAAAGGTTGGGCAATCTACTTCCATAGTGATACTGCCTTGGAAACCCAAGGAGGGGTCACTATGGGTCGGGTGGACTTGACGGCTCATAACAACAACAACAATTCAAAGGTGAACTTTACTTCAGCGTGGGATTAATTATTTACTCCTGTGTTAGTGAAGATTTAACTAATGAAATTTGTGGCAGAGTATGTACTAAGTAAATGTGAATTCTAAGTCTCTCAAAAAATATATGTTTTCTAGGAGAATGCATAGAAGGACTGCGGGAAAACGACTACCTTCTGATTCATTCGTGCCGTCAGTGGACGACCATCACTGCCCATAGCTTGGAGGAGGGGCACTATGTAATTGGGCCAAAGATAGAGATTCCGGTACATTATGCAGGTAAGATTCTTCTCATGGGGCAAAAAGTTAAGAGAGAGGGAGAGGACTGAACATACTTACATTTTCCTCCACAGTGGGAAAATAAGAATTGGCTATAAACTTATAATGACTTAGAAAATGAAGAATCAAATACTTTTGTCTGATTATTTTGTTTACCAGTTGTCATAGATTGAATTGTGTCCCAAAAAAATGTGTGTCATCTTGGCTGGGCCATGATTCTCAATGATTTGGCAGTTCTGTAATGATGTAATTTGGCAGTCATGCATTGATGTAATCATCCCCCATAATGTGACATGATGTGATCAGCCAGTCAGTTGTAAGGGGATTAGAGTGGGATGCAACATCTTACTCAAGTCGTAGTCCTTGGGGTATGCCTGCATCACCTTTTACGTTACAAGAGATAAAAAGAGAGAGAAGTGAGTAGAGAGGGACCTCAGTGCCACCAAGAAAGAAAAGCCAGGAGCAGAGCATATCCTTTGGGTCTGGGGTCCCTGTGCTGAGAACCTCCTAGACCCAGAGGAAGATTGATGCCAAGACACACAGGGATCTCCAAGGAACGTCAGGCCCACAGATATTGAAAGGAGACAAGAACGTTCCTCCAGAGCTGACAGAGAGTGAAAGCCTTTTCCTGGAGCTGGCACTCTGAGTTCTGAGTTCTGACATCTAGCCTCCTAACGAGTGAGAGAATAAATTTCTGTTTGTTAAAACCACCTATTTATGGTATTTCTGTTACAGCATCACTGGATATCTAAGACATAGATAAAAGCTCACATTAAATTTTGTCATAGGTATTTCTAAATAATGAATGTGTTTAAACTCTCATAGGTATTTATGTGGTTGAATTAGTAGATAATTATTATGTTGTTAAATTCTTATTAGATGTTTATAAGATGAAAATCTTATAAACACAGTGAGCTTCTGTAGTCTTGGAATTAAAATCAATACTTGTAGCTAACTCCTAAGCTTCCAAGTGGCCATGTCTGTGAATAACTGATGCACACAACTTGAAAATTGCTTTTGTGAATGACTTTGAGGCAGTGTTTCACAAGAGACTGTATGGACATTGTGGTCTGGTTTTAAAAGTGTTGGATTGGAAGTTCATATTACTTGGACATGTATCTTTTTTCAAGTAGGCCTTTTGAGAAAATGCAGCTGAAATGATCTCACTCCTGGAGCTCATTTCTTTAGTTAAATGAGGACAATACCTGCCTTCTCACCTCACTTTGAATTCCATTCAGTTCAACAAATTCCATTCAATTAAATGTATTGAACATGTTTTATGTGCCAACACTGTTCTAGGAGCTTGGGCTACATCAGTGAGCAAAACAGACAAGGAATGCAGAGCTTATATTCCAGTGGTTTGATTCCAATATGCTGCCAAGGCTAGGAACCCATCATTCTGAAATGGACATCCATAGTTGATTAGATGGATATCCAGAGTGTCAGTAGTTTAGAAGGTATAGAAGATTTCCCCCGATATTAAAACATAAATGTTTTAATGCTTTCATTGGGAAGATAGATATGAAATGTTCAGCAGCTTACCCATTATCTTTGGGGACAATCATAGTATGTTTAACCAGGCATCCTGTTGTACATTATACAAAGAGCTCTGGTGGCTAAGTGCCTAAGGCATTTGGGTGCTAACCAGAGGGTTGGCAGTTCAAACCCACCAGCTACTCCACAGAAGGAAAATGGGGCAATCTCCTTCCATAAAGATTCACTTCCTTGGAAACCCAGTGGGGATCACAATGACTCAGAATCAGCTTGATACATACGTACATATATTAAAGTGAAATTGAGGTTCCAGGACTAACAGAAACGTGGACATTTAGATCATACCACTTTACATAAAACAAGAGAAAATACATTAAAGGAAGAAAACCTCCAAACAGAATCAGGTGATTTTATAGTATCATTTGATGTTTGGCCAAATTGAATGGATGGTCATGAGTGTCAGTCTGTTTTCTAAGCAGGCTTCCTTAATTGCTTCAACAAGAAGTTTAGGTAGAAGTTTTAAGGAAAAAATAAATATAGTTGATCGTTTTGTTTTGGGCTTCAAGTATTAGGATAACACCAAGAAAATTGTCTTACAGATAAAGACCAATTTAGTGATTTACTCATCTTTAAAAAAATCCTATTGGTTAAAAAATAAGAGGGTAATGCATTTTGATCAAAGTATGAATTGAGACTTGTGAGTGCTGATAAGTGCCTTTCAGAAGTTTTGGCAGGATATATTTTGTTTCTTAAAGCATATTTAGTACCAAGAACCAGCCCTTGAAAGAAAGCATAAAGTTGTAGACACCAAAAATATCAGTTATGCCTCTCTAGCTTTTTCATGACCTACTTTTAATTAGTACCCATCTGAAAAAAAACCCATTGTCATAGAGTTTGATTCCTATTCATAGCAACCTTGTAAGACAGAGTAGAACTGCCCCATAGAGTTTCCAAGGCTGAGAATCTTCATGGAAACAGCCTACCACATCATTTTTCCTCGGGCAGCTGGTAGGTTCAAACCTACCTTTTTGTAAGCAGCCTAGTGCTTTAAGCACTGTGCTACCAGGGCTCCTTTAATTCCTGCAGGAAACCTTTAATCATGCATATTTTACTAATAATTAATAATTAATAAACAATATAAAGAAGTTTAACTTACTGGTAAAGCCCATTGGCTTTGTAATCAAACAACCTTGTTTGATTCCTGGTCCTGCTCTTTACTGTCTGTATGACCTTGGGCAAGTTACGAAATATCTCTAAATCTTAATTTCCTCATCTATAAAGTGAGGAGAATTATTATGACATTCTCTTAGGGTAGTAGTGAAGATTAAAAGAAGTAATGCAAGTAAAAACACCTTTCAGAGTGCTTGCCACCTTTATAAGTGCTTCATAAAGATTAACAATGATGATTATGATAATGATAGCAACAAAATATTTCTAAGTATTTAACTCTTCATTTTGCATGACTAATTGCAAGTTGAATTACTTTCCTGCTCATGAAAGTAGGCTGAACTCCTCACAAAATTGTTTTGGCATTTTTTTTTTTTTGTCTTGTTTTCCGACTTTTTTACTTTGAGATTACAATAATATATTATGTTGCCTTATACCATTTATCAAGTGTTACCCATTTTTAACATTTTACCAAATTTGTGTTAACACTTCTCCACCTTCTAGTCTCTTACCCACATGCACTCACACTCACACACACACATTGTTTTTTCTGAACCATTTGGGAGTGGGCAGCATACATTCCCCTAACACTTTACCATGTATTTCTGAAGAACACAGATATGTAAGCACAGTATGCTCAGCAAATTCAAGACACTGAACAGTATACATTACTCTCATCTAATCTACAGTCCGTATTCCAGTTTTGTCACTTGTCCCAATAATGCCCTGTCTTGCTTTTTTTTTCCTCTCTCCAGAACAGCATCTGCTTATTGTATTATTACATTGTCATATCTCTTTATTATTCTTTACTTTGGAAGCCTTTCTTGTGTTTCATGATCTATATATTTTTGAAGAATACAGCAAGTTTTATAGAATGGCTTTCAATTTGAGTTTCTCCATCTCAGTGATGAGATTGGGATTGCTACATGTCTTAGGCTGGATTTTTTAGAGAAGCAAAACCAGTGAAGCATGTATGTGTGTGTGTATATATATATATATAAAATAAATACAGAAAGGGAGGTTTATTTTAAGGAAATGGTTCATGTAGTTGTGGAGACTGGCCAGTCCCAAATCTATAAGTCAGGCACATCAGGCTGGAGATTTTACTGACTCTCGTGTTTGCAAGGACTGATGAACCCAAAATCGGCAGGTCAGGTGGAAGGCTGTGGCTTGTTTCCCAAGAACCAGAGGGGTAGAGGATGATGGATCAGATGCAGGATCTAGAGTGAGTGACTGACCTTCGTCAGAGCATCATGTATATTGGATGCAGGCCCCACCCCCAGGAAACGACTCTTACATCTCATCACCAAATGATGGATAATTACATAATACATGCAGTCCCCAGGTTATTAACAGGACCTATTCCTGAGTGAGTCTTTAAGTTGAACGTGTAGGTAAACTCAAAAGAGACTTTTATTTGCCTTACTTTAACACCAGAAAAGACTGAAAACCTTTTCAGTGATTTAAAAGCTGCACATGCAGCAAGTGCACTTGATTGCGACGAAGAATTTGTTAGAAGTAGAAGTTGGTTCAGTCGCTTAAAACTGAGGGCCAATTCACATAAGATTAAAGGACAAATCGGGGTTGTCCGTGAGTTGGATGGAGGTTTGTAACCTGGAGCCTTACTGAGCTAAGAATCCTGGCCTAGCCAGGCTGACATGTACGTAAAGGATGATGTATCTTTCTCAGGGAATCACACCTGGAGACGTGGATTTCCGTTTGCCTTTTATTGGTGATGTAATTTTGATCACTCAAAGTGTTGTCTGACTTCTCTGCTGTATAATTACCATTTTAAAATTTTATTTTATTTTTGATGAAAATACACATAGCAAATCCCACTCCTGCAGTTTCTAGATGCAATGATCAGTGACATCGGTACATTCTTCACATTATGTCAACATCCCTGTTATTTCTGTTTTAGTTATTTCACTTCCATTTCCTTAATCTCCCCACCCCCAACCTTCTCATCTATTATAGATACCATCAATGGTCATGAGTGTCAGTCTGTTGTGTCTGTATTAATAATAATAGGTATGTAAGTATACAAATGTTAAATACATAATGACCCTTTGATCATAATGTAATTGTATATATACATATAATTTCCCTTTGTTTTTGTGATTAATAGGAAATTTAAGAGAAGATACTTTGAGACTCTGTAAATACCCTGTTTCTTCTCTGATACTCCCTACCCAAACCCCACCCCAACTGAGAAGCCACTGATTTCCATCTGATTTAGTTTTTACTAGGAAGGTAGAAAAACAGTATTTTGCTCACCTAACTCTGTTTCTTTTCTTTCATATATTAGTTGTCATTCTACTTATAAGGAAGAACTTTTC